TGCGCGAGCGGGGTTCGACACTCATTGCCGCTGTGTGCGTGGGTTGGTGTGTCATTTCACACCTGTCTATCACGCCCCTGTTAGTATTCACCGTTGGTCCCACCCCATCGCAGCAGTGACAGCACATATGAGAGGGACATCCAAGCCAGAATGAGAATCATGATACACAATGCCTTCGCACAAGTCCTCGAGATTCTAAAAGCCCCAGCCCCGAAATCCATGACTTTGCAACCGACCAGTCTGAGGTTTGTTGAAGTTCGAAAATTTGGCGATGGCACCCTGCGGCCGCTGTGGAAGAAGACGGAGGTGTCGTGTTGGAAGCTGGTTGATACTCCCTGGGTTGTACTTATAGCCAGTACAGCAATCATCGTCGCTGCCGAAGGTAGAGGAGCATTTACGGTGATGATGAGATTGGTGGCAATGATCTTGTTGAACACGGTAATGCCGGTGGCGATGAGCAGAAGCAAAGGCTGCGGGAGCTGGCGAATAGGAGAGAGCAGGCATTGACGGAGGTCAGAACTCAAGCCGGGGCGTTTCCGTGAAATGTGTCAAGCATGAGAAGTGTGCACTCATGCTCATGCAACATGTAGCAGATGGCCGTTTGGACAGCATCAGGCGCAAAGGCGGTGTTCAGACAAAGCCACGGTAGCTTGGAGGCGTGAATCTCGCCCTGCCCGACCCCGGAACAGAAGGGTTTCCAGTTGCTCTAGATCCGCCAGTCATCGGACAAAACAGAGCCAGTCCCTGAGGCCTTGTGATCGGTGTTCTGCAAAAGTGAGATTTTCCCTCGCAATATATAGGTCGAGATTACAACAACTGGAAGGCATATTAGGTGAGAGCAGGGCCAGACACCGCCAGGCCCTGATTTCCCCACGGGTTGCAGGTTGCAACTGTCCCTCAGCGTCCCAAAGACTTCGTCGACATCGATGATGAGGAGGAGGAGGTTTCGCGTTTGGGCGTTCAGCAGTGTTTGCCTTGGGCTTTGCTAGTGCTGATTCCCTGGGACACGAACTTCGGATTCATCGGTCTTGAATGATTTTGGAAATGGGCAATGCGGAGCTGAAGTCGCTCCCGTGTCTATCTAGAGTCAATAGGTTATTCTTTGACGCTGTTAGGTGCAGGAATCGTTCGATGCGAGGTTAATGAGAGTGCAGCCGGCGATGTGAAACGGCGATACCGCTTGAAGAAGGCATGGTGGTCCCAAAGCGTCCACTGTAAGGCTCTAATAACCCACGCTCGGTACATCACTGGCATCCAAGATTTTCGATACCACGCCTGAAGTCCAGGATGCACTCCGTCAGCTGCCAGACAGAAGGGTAACTCGTGTCCATTGCAATCGACGACAGCGTGCCGGTTCCACCCGCCGTGTTTTGTCCGAAATGCTCCGTCGCGCTCACATGAAGGCACGGTGAGGTCGGGGATCACGTGCATCGTGCACGAAGGAAAGCTCTCCCAACTTGGACAGTCCACGAGCTGGGGATACACCCAGTAGATCTCCAAAACGCTTGCAGCAGCAGCAGCAGACCCTAGACCTATCTTGCGGCGGGTATGCTCGCAGCAAGATCTTCCCAACACACGAAGACCGAAGAAACACATTGCAGACGACCGTCCCTTTCAAAGAGTGTTTGTGTGCGTGTTTCTTGTCTAGAGTGTTGCAACCTTGGACACGGAACCCACTCCGAGCTTTCGGAGTCCACCTCGTTACTCTGGTGGAATCCCACTTTTTGCGAAGGCGCCGGCAGCTGATGGTCCGACTGTCGACGCTGAGGCAGACAACCGATGTGAAGGGAAAAACGTTACATCTCCGGATGCGATCTCTTTATAGAGGCTTCAGATGATTATGATGGTCGGGTCGGAGCCCCGAAATTGAACTGTCATACACGTTCAGCATCCTAGGCCCGAAGGTTTTTCGGACCCCGATGCCCCCGAATCCCTTAGCCCCATATTTCTTACAGTATCATTCATGCTACCACGATTAATGTATTAAACTACCGCTGGTCGAGAGCACCGCCTGCACCGCGACGACTGCTGCTACGGCAACTGCAACTGCTGCTGCTGCTGCTGCTGCTGCTGCTGCTGCAACTGCTGCTGCTTTGCTCCTGCTCCTCCTACTGCTACCAGTCCTACCAACAGTAGCTACAGTTTAATCAGTTTACTCATACGAATACCTAGAGGACCTATAGTGATACCAGTATTGTAGCAGCAGCAGTAGCAGTTCGAGTCGCCGCCGCAGCAGCAGCAGCAGGAGTAGGAGTGGGTTTACGAGTAGAGGGGAGGTAGTTACAGGCAGTAGTAGTCGTCGTCGCGGTCGTCGTTTTTGTGGTCGTTGATATTGATGTAGATAAGATGAAAATTTTGCCTTTGTGGCTTCTGAACCTACAACTTTAAATCCCGAAAGCAAGTAATTGGCGAAAGATAAACCAGTAGGTGCACGAAACTTGCACCACAAAGACCCTATCTCCTGATGACGTCACATGTACCTCGACACGTCTTTCCTGGCCCTCAAACTCTATCCAAACCCTCAACCCATAATTTCACTCATTCCATGCATGTCTAGACCTCAAGTAGGTCCTGAGTCCGAGCTTGGATTACTCGAACATCGCTTGGAGGCCTCGAAGGCCCCAGTCCTCATCGGCAGCCCTGAAGAAGACCCTCCGAAGGCCAAAGTGGAGAAAGGGTTTTAGGGGCTTGAGGCATGTGAATGCGGGGTTGATGGCTGAGTTGGAACTCCTCGAAATACTCTCGAAATAGTAACAAGGAGCCCGAAAGTCCGAAGTCTTTGACGAGTAGGAGACGTGTTCTAACCCCAAGATCAACTCCCTACGTCAGTACAGCTTGGTGGTTTTCTTGTTCTGACGTTTCTTGGGGTATTCGTCTACAAGGGTCCCACCACCGGGTTGAGAAATCCGTTGGTCGATCTTTGGTTGAGCATCATTTGCCGCAGCAGGGAGGCTCTAGAAAGGAGTCGATTTTGATGTCATTTGTTCGCTTCGGTTGCTTTCGGGTTGGCTGAAGTACAACAAAGGCCGCATTGGATTTTCAGGACCTGCGAGCTCGACTAGCAAGTCCTCAGAGCAAGTGGCTGCTCGAAGCTCCTTGCACAGCCCTCACCAGGACGAGGCGTCTGCAAAGCGGAAAGAGCCCGCCGCCGCGGAGAAGGCCATAGTCCGCCTGCGTGTCGGGGGCGGTCGACCGTAAGCTTTGGCGCATGACGAACGCTCGATTTTGAGCCTTTTGTCCCATGCGCAAACTGTTCTCCCAAATCGGAGGTTGAGATTGGCTCTGCAGATGCACGAGACCACCCTTCCTCATGTCGAACGTATTTCCGTTCATGGCATGCCAGGATGCAAAAGCCAAGAAAAGAAAAGCCTGAGGCACCTTGCAATCTCGAGACTTGTCGAAAACTGGGGCATTCGTCCATCATGTCTTTTGGTCATCATGTTTTCAAAGCATTCCTCTCTTGAGACATATCCGCGTGGCGACGTGATTGGCCACTGCTGATACTATGGCATTACCAGGTTGTGTCTTCAACTGTTCGCCTTATCGGGCCCGAGATCTACAGCTTGCATCTCTTGCGCCATCCGAGGCAGTCACGCCTCGATGTGACGCTGCCTTTGTAGTTTAGCATCGTGCTCAATTGAGTAAGTATAAATGTAGAACGGCTGGTATCCAGGACAACCGGATTTCGAAATGAAGACTCGAAAGCGACTCACTGGCGTTTGCACATCGAGTCGGGGCCAGCCCCGTGTATCTCACATCACAACCAGAAATTCAGGGTATTTCAACACCTCGGGTTCCTAAGCTGCGCAGAGAGCGCGAGCGGAGAGCCTGGCCGTCAGCGGCCATATGCCAAGAGGGCAGACCTGCCCGACATGGAGTTCAAAACAGCGCCCACGACCTAGGGTTAGGGATTTTCTGAGCTCAGGGTTTAGAGACGATTCAGAGACTTCCACCATGAGGCAAGGGTCGGGCACTCTAGAGATAAATGTTTCAAGCTGAAGGTTTCGACGTATGAAGACGCAACTCTTGCGGACATTGGACATTGTTGGTCAAGGGCCAAATAAATACCGATACGCACCAAGAGTGTTCGCCTGCAGCGTTAAGCTACCGTGACAGTGATAACTGTATGCTGTGATAGTCACTGAAACACCAATGTAGTCGTCCACGGCACTTCCCTGCTTAACAGTGAAGCAAAGACAGTCCTGAACCTGAACACTTCAGCACTACTTCCGCGAAATTATTGCCTCGTTGCGGTGTTTTCTAATCAGCCTCCCTCTCCCCAGCTTAGACATTTGGCGGGCCGGTTCGAGGGTGGACTTCTGAAGCCTCGGCAGACAATTCATATGTTCGAGCGAGAGAGAGAGAGAGAGAGAGAGAGAGAGAGAGAGCGAGAGCATAGGGGGTCAAAGCCCTACACCATAGCCCTGGCAAAAGAAGAGAGAGGGAGCGAGCGAGCAGCTTGGATCCACAGCTTTCGGCTGACAAGAGCTCCAATTATGCAGATCCGGGAGACTCTCGGCAGTACTTGCTGAAACCTTGAAGCAAAAGTCCCGGAAAGCCCCGATCCCCGGAACCCGATCGTCTCGTAGTACTTCACAGCCCCGGCAGTCAAGCCTGGACTTTGATGTAACCGTAAAGCCGGCAGACTGGAGCTTCTCCACCAGGCCAGCAAGCTCGTACTTGTTATTCGGGTCCACATTGAAGTTGTTGTGATTGTTGCATGTGGATAAACATTTTTGTATCACAGCCAGCATCACCACTACATCCATGATTGACATCATCACGGATGCTGGTGCTGGCAGTGTCTGTCTAATTCATCAGATTGCCAGTGTAAGACCCTGAGCCCTAACCCTTCAACTTCCCTGCCTAGCGACTCGTTCGGCAGTACAGGAGGCAAAAAGTCCTTCAAACCCCAAGATCCAGAAGCCTCATCCCCAAAGCCCTAAACGCAAGACCCTATGCCCTAGACCCCGAAGCGCTTGTTGCCATGGTCCCGAACCATGCAGCTGGGCTGGATCTGGCTCCTCCTTCTCCGCGCGACCCGCGGCGAGGGAGAAGGCTTCAGCTAACATGTTCGGGGTTTTCGGGATATCGAGTTTAGGGTTTAGGGTGTAGCGATGCAGAGTTTAGTTGGGGGGTACAGAGTTTAGGATTTAGGGCTATGGGATCTAAAGCTTAGGTATATAGAACCTAGGGCTTTATGGTTTAAGGGATATAGCAGTTTCATCCGCACATCAAGAGATATAAACACAAGCTAATCATGCGAACTCAGGAGACGCATCACAATCGTGAATGTTCCGTTCTCTTCGGATTACAGGGGTTCGTGCAATCGTAGCGCCCCACAGGAGCATGCCAGTGCGGAGAAAGCTGGGAGCAGGCGCGACAGGGAACCAGCAATTCAAAAGTATAGTATATATTATATACCACCAAACCCTAGTCTAATTGTGTCTAATTATGCCAAACCCTAGTCTCATTATTACGGACGCTACTCTAACTGACTGCCCATGCGCATCAAAATCGTTAGTAGCTGGGCCGACTAGTGGGCATCTCCATCGGCTCGACACTGCATGTTCTTGTTCTGGTGTGCTCAAGATATCCGACAGCAGCACTCACCTCGCGGAAGCTACCGTCCTTGATCATTGCTGGGGTCTGCTGCTCCTCAAGGCACAAAGTGTATGGTCCATAGCATCAGGGCCTCAGCCAGCACAGCACAGCTTAGCCTACAAAAAGGCGCTGTGCAGTTTGCTAAGTAGGGACCGGGATGTCTTCGTCACAGCAGAAAATGTTCCTCGACAGATTCGGCGGGAGATGTGGGAGATGTTCCGGCCAGATCTGGATCTCGCAGGACTGTTCCAGCTGGTCTGAATTTGTTCAGGGTCTTCAGGTTGAGACTACTCTTTGACAGCGAGGATTCCTGGTGCTTTCTGCAACAGCTCGGTCCCGTAAAGCCCGAAATTCCAATTTCTCATGCCCGGCACTCGTGAGCACTCGAATCTCCAGTGTTTGTTCACAAGATCTTGCCGGAAGTTTGAGGACTTACGGACTGCTTGATGAACAACGAGTGCAGCGACTATTGGCGGCATGAAGCCCATCTCAGAGTCAGGTGAAGCACATCGGTTTGAGTTATTCGCTTGAGTGCGCATGGGGCCGGCAGAAGTCAACTCAGATCAACAGGGCTTTCCAGGCTTGGCAGCTGTCGACACTTAGGAAAACCGGAACTGCAGCCGACAGGCATACACAGGGCCCATCAGGGCACACTTTCAGGGTATGGAAGCCTCACTTACGCGTCCATGAAGCCCAAAACAATCCAAGACACGTTCTTGTTGCTGGTAGTAAGTAGTCCTTTCCACCGTGCTTGCTAGCCCGAACCCGCGAGGATGCAGACCTTGCTGCAGCGGCGATGCTGCAGGGCACTGCAATGTCTTGCTCCGAAGAGGACTCGCCGTGCGCACTATGATCAATCGTCCTGGTGTTTATGTCGATCTCCCTAAACCTGCAGGTCAAGAATGGTCGTTTTTCAACGCCAATATCTCTTTTGACAGAGGGCCGTAGACGCACAAATTTGCGTTGATTGAGTTTGAACCCCTGGTTTCGAGTCGAAAGTACAACATTCCAGCAACGACTCGACTTCTGATGGGAGGATACCGGATGTTGTCTATCGAAGACCTGTAGCCCTTACCAGGTCCCGCCTCTACCCTAGACTGGTTCAAAGCTGAAAGCCTAGTTTCGAGCCTCGAAGTCCCCAACCTCGACCCCTAACGTCGATTCTGGCTTGGAACTGCGAAAGCCAGGGTTTCGGGGTGTTGAGGTTCAAGTCCCTACAAAATCCGTGGCAATCCGAAGCCTGCGAGCTCATAACCTAAAAACCCGAAACGGCGATCTCCAGGAGCTTCCCAAAGTCTCTTCGCTGGTTCCGTGCGCTGCAGGTACCGCTGAAGAGCGAGGGATGAGGGCTAGCGGCATTTAGGGTTTGGGCGTTTAGGGTTTGTGCAGCTTTGAGGCCCAGGGGCCCAGCGGATGCAGCAGCATGCTCGATGCAACAAAGGTAAGCTGAAAGTTCCATTGCTAGCAAACGCAGCTACGTACAGAGCATGCCCATGTTTGTTCTGCTTGTTTCAGACCCGTCGCCCTGACTATGTTGAGTGCTATCGAAGTCAGTTCGGATACGATCCCTAACCATTGATCCTGAATTCAACAACCCGCAGCAACAAGGCAAAGGCCATCACAGGCCCATCAAAACTTGTGTCCATTCGAGGCAGCCGTCGCAGGAGTTTCAGATGTCAGACTAAGGCCAGTGTGCGGTAAGGCTAGCATGTCGATGAGAACACGGACAAAAAAACATAAGGAACGGCATTGGGAAGAAGGAGAAAAAGAACGGCCAGAAATCAGAACAACAGAATATAAGCAAGCAGCAGCAAGACTGGCCAGACTGTTACTGGGTTAGTCAAGACCAATCGATAAATTGCTTGAGCAGTTCCTGCCCCCCGGAGCAAAAGATGAACACAGTAAGATGGAAAGGGAAGCTCTGTAGTCAACAGGGTTGAGAATTTCGGGTGGTAAAGTCCCATGCATCTTCTTTGCTAGTAGTCAGAGGTAGTTCTGCTAAGCGAGCTGTTTTCGCAATTGATGCGTCCTGCGCCGGAAACTCCAGCCCGCGGGTCTGAGTCTTAGTTGCATTTCGGTGGTGGTGCACATGACCACCACCGCAGATTCCCTGCATAACTGGCTACGGCGGCTGCGGAGTAAACAGCAGGAACATGGCTATAATATAGGGATTTAAATAATTACCATACTATTTTGAGGGCTCCTTATTACAATTATGGTATAATGTACCGCAAAGCATTATTCTAATTCTTAAGGCCCTTACGTTGAGGACTGGCAGCCTTGGTCTTTGCCCAGACCCCGCAGCTTCTTCCGTCTCCAGGCTTCACGCACTACATGATCGCCTGCGGGCTGCAGCTTCTCGGGTGACAAGCGCTTGTTTCTTGAAACTGCAGCTGGGAGGGGCGAAAAGGTCGCAGAGGATAGGCTGCAGGAACGCACCGATATGGGATGAATACTAAATAAGAATAATAATAATAATCATACTAATAATAATAGTAATAATAATAATAATAGTAATAATAATGATATCAACCACTCACAATAGTGATAGTAAGGCAGAGGTTTTAGCTCACGGCGTCAACCGTGACCGCGGGGTTTTTGCGCATTGAGGGTTTGCACTGTGTTTGGGCCAGGTTTTAGGATGTGGAGCGGGAAAGCGGCGTGCACCGTTGACCTTGCAGCTGTGTTGCATATGTCGCGGAGATATTGGGCAAAAGCAGGTCGAACTGTGTCGTTGTGTAGCGACCTCTGGCATGTTTGTGACACTGAGGATGTGGCTCAAAGGTTATAGCCGTCAATCTGCATTGCGGCTTGGCGGAAACTTCCTCATGTTGTGTGGTAGAAATCCCTTGCAACCGTCCAACAGTGGACGCAAATCTCCCACAAAGACACAGGAAACTGCGAGAGTAGCAAGGAATTCGCAGGGTCATTGCTGCCGGTGGAAGCTTCACAAAGCCACTGTTAATCCCATTTTGGCCCTTCCTTGGTTCTTCATCTTGGCCTCTTCACTTCCAGTGCAGTGGTTCTTCGTTCCCGTCCGTGTGTTCCTCACTGAATGCACTGAACCCAACCTCCTCGTGCAAATTTGCATACCCAACACCTTTAAATTCTACATTCCAAAAAAGGACTTTGAATCCAAAGACAGAGGTATTGGGAGCAAGGTCTCGGCTACCTTTCACTGTGTTTGAGTTGCTCGGCTGTTGCTTTTGTCTTCAGAAGTCCAGGCTCAGCATTCAAGCATTCAGGATTTGGGTTTAGGGGTTTAGGGTTTTATTGTTTAGGGGTTTATTGTTTAGGGTTTAGGGGTTTAGGGTTTTAGGATTTTTCGCTCTAGGGGCTGGGGATTGCTTGATGGTTGTTTTGGCGGTGTTTTCTTGCGCCTATGTAGGGCTTCAGCGCTTCGGGATTGAGGACTCAGGATGTTGGTATTTAGGAGTGTAACGACTGAGGGCTTACGGCTCTTACTCCACCCGCAGAACCCATTCTGTCTTACCAATCAGCCTACAGAGAGGAGGTGGCCCGGAGCAGTTGAGTGAAGGTTAGCTTTCAGCTAAGTGCTCGCAGATTTCAAGGCTAAAAGTTCAGGGTTTTGATGCATTTCGGAAGGCTTTTGGGTTTGAGGCCCGGGGCTGAGGGCTTGGCTTAGGCACACAGCTAAGGTTGCTTGGATGGTTCCGAGTGGCCGCTGTGGTCGGGTCAGATCCTTGAGAACTGGCAGTGCCCCGGCTGAGGGGTCGACACAAGCAGAAGACCCTTTCAGTTCTCATGGACCGCAACCGATGCCAAGCCTCGGCATCTGGTTACCTCTCCACAATGTCATGGTAGAAAAGCACAAGCAAGCATTTGGGTCCACACCCTCAGGACTCCTGGGTTCTTTTGCAGAGTGCTGTACCGCGACTGCGCCCCATGCGACGCGATAGATTAATTGCTACGGCCGCTGGGCCACCTTCGATATAGCATGTCCGATCATCTCCTAAAACCGGGATTGCCAGCCGACTCAACGGTACCCAAGGAACTTTCTACGCACTGCTTTTCCGCCCGCTGCCGTTGTGGCGGAGGAAAGGCAGAGCGGCGACGGCTGCTTGGTGAACAAAACTGGGCATTTAATGTAGGGGCCTAAACAATTACCTATACTATTTTGGAGACTCCTTATTATATTTATATTATAATGGGCCCCAAAACCCTAGTCTAATTATTAAGGCCCCTGTATCAGGACAGTTCGAGGTTCTCGTTGCCTCGGGTGTTTCATGCCTTTCTAGCCTACATGGACAGCGTAACTAGCAGCTGCTGAGGTAAGTTCCTTTCCGTTGGTCCACCAGCACATGCAAAGGCAGGGATGTCGTGCTCGCACGCGCATGCAGGCAAGTACGCGTGATGTGCCTACTTACGTACATTTGTATGTAGGTGTTTGTTTCTTTGCATGTGGCATTTGCACATGTGATCCACAAAGTTGATCAAAGCCTGCGCACATGCTGGCGGTCCAGCGCATTGAGGGTTAATTGCATGTAACTCGGCCAAGCAGTCGCCAAAATCACGCGACCTCCAGGCCCCAACCAAAAAGGCACAGTCAGGCGAGTAGCCTACGTCACCGTGGACGGTCGGGATGGGGGCCACGGCCCGGTTGGAAGTAAATCGTTCTTACTACGCAAGTGGCTCGAAGCCCTGGCAGAAGCACTCCCTAAAGCCATTCGTGGCTTCCTCAACATAGCCGTCAGAAATCGATTCGCATGCCAGTCCTTGAGCTGGTGGCGGACGCTGCCGCGACGGGGCCGGTACTGCCCACCACAAGTCCGCGAAGGCTTCAGAGTTTAAGGCATGGAGTTTGCCCTGCACTCTTCGTGCCCTGAGAAGTCCAGGCCCCAGAGCTCAAATTACCCGAGTCCCAGGTACAAGTAGTTCCTAGGCTCGAGTAGTTCAGGATTTGTGGCATGTAGATTCGTGGCTGTCTCATCCAGCAGGAGACCATCTGGAGGGGCTCCTAGAGAGTGATGGGGTGAAGGACAGAATGCGCACTTGAAGCACATGTGGATCAGAATGTGCGCTTTCTGGGTGTGGGGTTGGGGGCTTCCGAGCTCGGATTTGGTGTGAGGGGCTGAGGGCTTTCCAGGCAGAAGGGCCTTTCGGACTCGAACCTGCGACAGTTCAGCTTTCAGAGATCATGGCATTTTCCGCTTGTGGCATCTGGTGCAGACATTGCCTGAACGGGCTTCCGGCTTCCAGGCTTCGGCCTCCTGAGAAATGCATTCTGTGGAGTTCAGGGAACAGCTCAAGCCTGGGGACAGGAGCTTAAGCCTGGGGACAGGAGCTTCAAAAAGTAACATGCAAGAGTTCAAAGCCTCCAAACCATTGCAAACCCACAGCTCCCAAGCTTATCCAAGCTTCTCCTGGCCGAAGGAGCCTACGGTGCTTTGTGCCGTTCCTCTGGTCTGGCCTGGCGAGGTGAGGCTAAGTCCTCAGAGCTGTGTGTAACTAACACCATGTTATGGCCAAGTAGAGCACAGCATCACGTGCATGTACGTATGTGTGTATGTATATTTGTATAAATTAGTTTATTCAGTGTAGATCTATGAATATGTATGTGTATATGTATGTAAGTATGTATGTGTGTATTTCTGCATGCATGCGTGCATGTACGTACGTAGCTACGATTACGTACGTACGTATGTATGTATATGTCTGTGTGTACGAGAGTATTTAAAACCTGTTATAGTTTGTCGTGATTAACACAACATGTTTTGCAAGTTCCTTAACTCATACTGCAGTCTGTTCAATATGGTGATACTGCACCATAAAGTGCGACCGTGAAACGTGGCTTAACCTGAAGCGGGTTTGGAAAAATACTAATGTAAGCCTACACCCAATGTGATGTAACCGACCATATGATTTGGTCCAGATCATGCAGAATCCAAGAGGAGTTGGCGGCTGCAGCCATCGTGGAGACTTATGGTCCCCGGTGTGACAGGTGCCCATCACTGCAGAGTCTCAGGGACATGTTGGGTGCAGCGCTTGGGTCCACTGTGTGACCTTTGAGAGTGAAGGTGCAGGGTGGGCTTACTCGTCTCGTATTTGGTGAGGGTACCTGTTTGTGTCCGTCTATTTGGTCGTGATGCCTACCGAACTCAAAACAGTCAGTTCTGTAGACGGGTATTTCTGAAGACTAATGGTCGGTCCCTAACTGTTAATACCCCCATGGTACATGACCTCATCTTTTTGGTAGCCCTTCGCCCTCTCTTCATGCGATTCCGGTTGATGCGTTCTTGGGTTTAGGATTTCGGAGTGAAGTTTTGATAGCTTCTGGGAGCTGACCGCGAAGCCATGGAGCTTCAGTTTAAGCCCTGTCCTCCGTCCCCCCTTCACCGGATTGAAGACCAAAGACGGGCAAAGAGTAGGAAAGCATGAGAAAAGCACAAGCTGGAATACGTCCTCGATCGACAAGTCCAGCATGGCAAAGGCTGGTCTTCTTTGTGGCATCGCCGAACGAGGCCGGGAGTCCGGAGTACCATTCCTTCCTCCTGCTGGTGATTAACACCCAAGAGGTGACTGCATGGCTCTGCGAAACAGGCTTAGTACCACGAGCCAGGCAGGCAAAGAGAGAGAAGCTACCGATGAAAAGTTCTTGGCCCTCAAACGGAATAGACTCTGTGCAACATACTGGCGGCAAATAGCCAGGGCTCAGCAAAGCCGGCAGGATGGAGTGCATGGTTGAGAGCTCCGACCGCGAGGGTATCGGACCCAAGTGAACCGCCGGATGGAGCCGTACGGTAGGAGCATAAGGAGCATAAAGGTTTGACCCGTGTTTGGCACCCCTGCATGCATCTTCGACATTTGTGCTGTTGGCATTGACGACTCAATTTGTTTTTCGATTTGCTGTTCCTGCTCAGTCCAGAGAGTTTTGCCACGACGGGTTTCCGTCCGGGCATCTTGGAGTTTTCAGACTGGTAAGCCAGGCAACAGCTGCCGAAGCACGCCGACAGATAGCGAAGCTCTTTGAAGGTGCCACTTTCGGGTTTCGATGGGTTCGGGACTTAATTTAGGACTTCAGCTTCCCAAAGGGTGGTTTGTGGTTTGGAGATGCTTTGATGCAGAGGAACAGAGCGCTCAGATTGAGCGAAGGTAGCCACAGGGATCACATCTTGCAGTGTATGCGTACTTCTTAGCTGGCTTCTGGTACACCTTCTTTGATAGTTGCGTTGAACACTTGACCCACACGTCCACTTCTACGTGTGTTCGAATTGATCGGTTTGAAGTCGCTTGACTTGGCTTTTTCCCGTCGCGGTTGGAAGCGTGTTGCCTCACAGAGCTAAGCTGGACGCGCGATCGTTGAATGCTTAGGTGAAGTTCGGACAATAGCGCCAAAAGTTACACGAGCTGCTGTCGGCCTGTCAAACAAGTGTTAACATCATCAAATCAACGCTGCTCCTATAGCAGCTAACCTTTGCGCAACCTGGAAGCACAACGGGGCTCCAAACTGCTGGTGGCCATGCCTCCCCACTCGCTCTAATGGCTCAAACCCCAAACCCCCCCAAGCCCAAGCCCCAAGCCCCATGCCCCAAGCCTACTAGGTGCTTCTGTGGTGAATCTTGCGGCTCGATGGCCTGCAATGCTCCGATCCTTGGCGTATCAGCTCCACTCTTTGAGCCTTTGGGCTCGCTTAGGCATTGAGGCCTGGTAGGCCCCTCAAGTTTGAAACCATGAAGGACTGGATTGAGACTTCAAGCCTAACGTCTGAAGGTAGAGAGGTCCGGCCTCAACCCTCTTTATGAAGCTCGAAGCCTATCAGTGCGAGTACCTATGTCAGGTTGATGCCAACATACTTGGTGTGCCGTTTGTCACCATCGATTGTCATCAAATCGTGGTCGTCGTCGTAGTAATAGTATTCGTCGTCGTCGTGGTCGTCGACGTCGTAGCACTACAGTACTAGTAGTACTAGTAGTAGTAGAGTCGTCGTAGTCGTAGTCGTAGTTGTCGTAGTTGTCGTAGTCGTAGTAGT